AGTGTATTAATTGTAGATTAAACACAATGTATAAGTTGTGTTACCCCAGATTATAGGTAATTAACCTGAGTGTAGTTAATGTTGGTGTGTGTAGTAAGGTAGTAACACTGAGTGTAGTAAGGTAGTAACACTGAGTGTAGTAAGGTAGTAACACTGAGTGTAGTAAGGTAGTAACACAGAGTGTAGTAAGGTAGTAACACAGAGTGTAGTAAGGTAGTAACACAGAGTGTAGTAAGGTAGTAACACAGAGTGTAGTAAGGTAGTAACACAGAGTGTAGTAAGGTAGTTACACGAGTGTAGTAAGGTAGTAACACAGAGTGTAGTAAGGTAGTAACACAGAGTGTAGTAAGGTAGTAACACAGAGTGTAGTAAGGTAGTACACAGAGTGTAGTAAGGTAGTAACACAGAGTGTAGTAAGGTAGTAACACAGAGTGTAGTAAGGTAGTAAAATAATCACGAGTGTAGTAAGGTAGTAACACAGAGTGTAGTAAGGTAGTAACACAGAGTGTAGTAAGGTAGTAACACAGAGTGTAGTAAGGTAGTAACACAGAGTGTAGTAAGGTAGTAACACAGAGTGTAGTAAGGTAGTAACACAGAGTGTAGTAAGGTAGTAACACAGAGTGTAGTAAGGTAGTAACACAGAGTGTAGTAAGGTAGTAACACTGAGTGTAGTAAGGTAGTAACACAGAGTGTAGTAAGGTAGTAACACAGAGTGTAGTAAGGTAGTAACACAGAGTGTAGTAAGGTAGTAACACAGAGTGTAGTAAGGTAGTAACACAGAGTGTAGTAAGGTAGTAACACTGAGTGTAGTAAGGTAGTAACACAGAGTGTAGTAAGGTAGTAACACAGAGTGTAGTAAGGTAGTAACACTGAGTGTAATAAGGTAGTAACACAGAGTGTAATAAGGTAGTAACACAGAGTGTAATAAGGTAGTAACACAGAGTGTAGTAAGGTAGTAACACAGAGTGTAATAAGGTAGTAACACAGAGTGTAATAAGGTAGTAACACTGAGTGTAATAAGGTAGTAACACAGAGTGCAGTAAGGTAGTTACACAGAGTGTAGTAAGGTAGTAACACAGAGTGTAGTAAGGTAGTAACACAGAGTGTAATAAGGTAGTAACACAGAGTGTAGTAAGGTAGTAACACAGAGTGTAGTAAGGTAGTAACACAGAGTGTATAAGGTAGTAACACAGAGTGTAGTAAGGTAGTACACAGAGTGTAGTAAGGTAGTAACACAGAGTGTAATAAGGTAGTAACACTGAGTGTAGTAAGGTAGTAACACAGAGTGTAGTAAGATAGTTACACAGAGTGTAGTAAGGTAGTAACACAGAGTGTAAGTAAGGTAGTAACACAGAGTGTAGTAAGGTAGTAACACAGAGTGTAGTAAGGTAGTAACACAGAGTGTCAGTAAGGTAGTTAACACAGAGTGTAGTAAGGTAGTAACACAGAGTGTAGTAAGGTAGTAACACAGAGTGTAGTAAGGTAGTAACACAGAGTGTAGTAAGGTAGTAACACAGAGTGTAGTAAGGTAGTAACACAGAGTGAAAGTAAGGTAGTAACACAGAGTGTAGTAAGGTAGTAACACAGAGTGTAGTAAGGTAGTAACACAGAGGGGTAATAGTTACAAGGTAGTAAGTCGTAACAGAGTGTAGTAAGGTAGTAACACAGAGTGTAGTAAGGTAGTAACACAGAGTGTAGTAAGGTAGTACACAGAGTGTAGTAAGGTAGTAACACAGAGTGTAGTAAGGTAGTAACACAGAGTGTAGTAAGGTAGTAACACAGAGTGTAGTAAGGTAGTAACACAGAGTGTAGTAAGGTAGTTACACAGAGTGTAGTAAGGTAGTAACACAGAGTGTAGTAAGGTAGTAACACAGAGTGTAGTAAGGTAGTAACACAGAGTGTATAAGGTAGTAACACAGAGTGTAGTAAGGTAGTAACACAGAGTGTAAGTAAGGTAGTAACACAGAGTGTAGTAAGGTAGTAACACAGAGTGTAGTAAGGTAGTAACACAGAGTGTAGAAGTAGTAACCAGGGTAGTAAGTGTAACACAGAGTGTAGTAAGGTAGTAACACAGAGTGTAGTAAGGTAGTAACACGAGTGTAGTAAGGTAGTAACACAGAGTGTAGTAAGGTAGTAACACAGAGTGTAGTAAGGTAGTAACACAGAGTGTAGTAAGGTAGTAACACAGAGTGTAGTAAGGTTTAGTAACACAGAGTGTAGTAAGGTAGTAACACAGAGTGTAGTAAGGTAGTAACACGAGTGTAGTAAGGTAGTAACACAGAGTGTAGTAAGGTAGTAACACAGAGTGTAGTAAGGTAGTAACACAGAGTGTAGTAAGGTAGTTACACAGAGTGTAGTAAGGTAGTAACACAGAGTGTAGTAAGGTAGTAACACAGAGTGTAGTAAGGTAGTTACACAGAGTGTAGTAAGGTAGTAACACAGAGTGTAGTAAGGTAGTAACACAGAGTGTAGTAAGGTAGTAACACAGAGTGTAGTAAGG